TTAAAGAGGAGGCAGAGGTTGGGCCGTCTTTGGCATAGAGCCACTTGACTTAGCTGTGCCCCTAGTTTTGCTGCTTTGATCTTTTTTTTTTCAAGTTTTAAGATGTAAAAGCAACTTTGATCTAAATCAAAGAGTTTGGAGAATGTAATTGTGTTGAAATCAATAAAATTAAAGTTGCGAGTATTGAAAATTTTCCTTTCGGTCCAAAAAATGGTCCAAGTTGTAACAGGATAAAATTTTGAACAAAATCAACTTTTATTAAAACTTTTCAAAACAACTTTTGGAAACGATCACCACCTGACACACACGGAATCTATCGTCAAGATGTATAATCCCAAATCCAAAGAAATCATAACTGCCCCTGATTGCATATCACTGCCGTTTTGTACTGTACTTAGCTTTTCTGCCTGAAATAAAGAGCACAACCGAACTAATAGATGATGAACAAGGATGACCTGATCAAGAAAATGGATAGTACAGTTGAATTGGAGATAGTTACGGCCGAACTTTGGGATGAAGTTGCCTACGTATCCAAAAAGTGGGAATCAGGCCTTACGTAGTTCGGTTCAGGTTCACTCGAGTATTAACTCTCTCCTTTTACGCTCTAACTTTTGCCAAAGTCGTCCTTTAGGGTTTTCAACCTTGCTAGCTCAGTTATTCTTTATTTCTAATTTTTCATGCTCTAACTTTTGCCTAGGTCGCCCTTTCGGGTTTTTGGCCTAGCGAGCCTCTTAGGGGTAATATTTCTTCAACTTGTCCATGTTGATTGGTTGCGAGAAATCCAAGCCATCCAAGTCCATAAGAATAGCCGCCCCTCCTAACCAGATTGACTTGATGATGTAAGGACCAATCCAGTTAGGTTTGAACTTGCCCTTAGGGTTATGAATAGGAGCTTAGTTGTCTTTCAGTACCATGGCCCCTTCTTGAAGATTTCTAGACTTTACTTTCTTGTTGAAAGCCCTGGTAATTCGGCATTAGTAACCCTGGACATAATATAATGCCCTTAGTCTTCTCTTATCAAATAACATCAATTCCTCAAACCTACTTTGTTGCCAATTTGCCTCTGCTGTTTGACACTCAGCCATAACTCGTAGCGAAGGCACTTCAATTTCGATGGGTAAAACAGTCTCCATCTCGTAGACAAGAGAATAGGGGGTTGCCCCTGTAGATGTTCGGATCGAGGTTCTGTAGCGCCAGAGCTCAAATGGCAGCTTATCTGGCCAGTCCTTATAAGTTTCCACCATCTTCTGCAGAATTCTCTTGATGTTTTTGTTCGCAGCTTCGATGGCTCCATTGGTCTGTGGCCTGTAGGTTGATGACTTATGGAAAGTCACGTTATGTTTCTCAAGCAAGTCTATCAGCTCTTTCTTGAAGTGTGTCCCATTATTAGAGATAATCTCGTTGGGCACCCCATACCGGCATATGATGTTGTTTTTGACAAACTTAGCCACATGCGATGCTTTCAGCACGGAGTAAGACTAGGCTTCTACCTATTTCGTGAAGTAATCGATTTCTAATAGAATGAATTCATGCCCGTTTGACCCCTTTGGTGAAACTACGCCAATAACATCTATTCCCCAAACAGAGAATAGCCATGGTGAAGTCATGTTGTAAAGCTTCAACGGCGGAATGTTCATGTAATTGGCATGAATCTGGCACTTGTGACATTGTCGAACAAAACCAATACAATCCTCTTCCATGGTTGACCAATAGTAGCCTTGTCAAAGGATTTTTCAGGCGAGCATCACACTTTTCATGTGGGCTCCGCACTCGCCTCCATAAGGCGCTTTGATTCCTCTTCCTTAACACATAGCTTGTGCATTCCCAAATGACCTCTTTTGTACAATTTACCTCCGCAAATGATAAATTGAACGGCCAAGTGCCGTATTCGCCTTTTGTCCTTGGCATTTGCTCTTGTTGGATACACCCCCTTTTCCAAGAAATTCCAAATATCATAGTACTAGGGGTTCTTGTCTGAAGTCTCATCTATTGCAGCAATGGTTTCATAGGCCAGCGGGTACGTCTGTTCAATAATGATTGAATGCATCTTGACTCCTAATGGAATGTCTACCATAGAAGATAGAGTTGCTAGTGCATCAGCGAACCGGTTGTTCTTTTCTAGCAGATGGGTAAATGTCAATTTCTCAAACCTCAGAATTAGCGTATCCAAGACCTGATGGTAAATCTTCATTTTCTCATCTTCAACCCGCCAATCTCCGTTGGTTTGAGACACAACCAAATTCGAATCCCCGATGACGTCCAACCTTTTTGCCCTTAGTTACAGGGTGGCTTCTAAACCATCAATACACGACTCATATTCGGCTTCATTGTTGGATAATTTAAATCGGAGTTTGAAGACTAAGGGTATGTGAGAGTCATCGGGTGCTATTAGCAACACACAAATCCCATAACCATATTGATTGGCTGCTCCGTCAAAGTGCATTGTCCACGTTTTCTTTTCTATTTGCAGAATATCTTCATCTGGGAACAAGTACTCCACCGTTTCATTCCCCTCTACTAGGTGATCTGCCAAGAATTCCGCTACAGCTCTCCCTTTAACTGACTTGCGTGTAACATATGTAAGATCAAATTCGGAGAATAGAAGCAACCACCGGGCTAGCCTACTCGTAAGCACTGGTTTCTTAAAGAGATATTTGATGGGATCTAATCTCGAAACCAAGATTACGGTGTGAACTAACAGGTAGTTCCTCAAGTTCCGGGTAGCCCATACCAAGGCTAGACAAGATTTCTCATGGAAAGTGTAACGGGTCTCGTAATCCAGCACTTTCTTGCTCAAGTAGTAAACGACTTTCTTCACCTCGGCCTTGGACTCTTGAGCTAACATACATCCCATGGTTGAGTTTGTCACTAACAGGTACAAGATCAACGATTTTCCCGATTCTGGCGGTGATAACACATGCAGATTCTGCAGGTACTGCTTGACTTGTTTAAAAGCGAACTGACAACGATCGTCCCATTAAAACTTCTTTTCTTTCTTCAGAAGACCAAATAGTGGTTCACAAGTCAAGGTTAGTTTTGAAATAAACCACCTTATGAATTGCACTTTACCCAGAAAGCCGCGCACCTCCTTTTTAGTCCTTAGGGGTGGCATTTCTAAGATGGCCTTGATTTTGGAAGGATCTACTTCAATTCCTCTCTGTGTGATTAAGAATCCCAACATTTTTCCTGTTGTTACACTGAAGGTGAATTTTTGCGGGTTCAACCTCAATCTATACTCTCTGATTTGCTAAAAGAATTTCTTCAAGGCAGTGTAGTGGCCTTCTTGATCTTTGGATTTGACAATCATATCATCCACGTACACCTCAATCTCTTTGTGGATCATATTGTGCAAAATGGTAGTTCCAACCCTTTGATAAGTTGCCCTGGCATTCTTTAACCCAAACGGCATGACTCAGTAGCAATAGGTGCCCCACGGAGTAGTGAAAGTAGTCTTCTCCCTATCCTCGGTTGCCATCAAAATCTGGTTATACCCAAAAAAATTCGTCAATAAATGAGAGCACGTGGTGAAGTCTACCAACTAATCAATATGCGGCAGTGGAAAATCATCCTTCGGACTAGCCTTATTCAGATGCCTGAAGTCGACATAGACTCTGATTCTGCCATCCTTCTTTGGGACTAGAACAATATTGGCCAACCACGTCAGATACTCAGATACAAGCAAGAACCCTGCTTCAATCTGTTTGGTAACTTCTTCCTTGATCTTCAAAGCCTAATCTGGGCGAACTTTGCATAGCTTTTTCTTAACTGGCCGGGCCTCAAGGTCAAGAGGGATCCGGTGTTGTACAATCTCAAGATCGATTCCAGACATGTCTTCGTAGGACCACGCAAAAACATCTTTGAAATTTGTTAATAAAGCGATTAAACGCTATCGTTCCTCCGGATACAGCTTGGACCCGATTTGGATCAAGCGAGGATTTTCCTTAGTATCCACGTTAATTGATACGATTTCATCTGTACAGGGCTTAACATGCCTCTCTTCCTCATGATCAACAAAATTTTTCAAAACCCAAGGAATTTCTTCCTCTTTGATTATGTCAAAATTTTGAAAATTAAGATTAGTACAACAAACTAAAAGCACGGAGAAGTAGGCAACATTCACAACATTCCCCTTCAAAAAGTCTGGATCTTCGGTTATAGTGGACTTAAAAGAAAAGCTAAAAGATGACCTCAACAGGACTTTGGTATCTGAGTTACCACTCCCAGAAGTACTAGACTCAGAGGTACTCAGTGGAATTAGATCCGGACTCACTATCCGATTCAGAATTGTTGATGATACCTTGCTTAGACTTCCAGACCAGACATGAAGCCTCAGACACATCCACGATAAGATTGGAGAAATCCATTGCTGGGGTCACTACGACAAAATGCATATTTAGCGACCAAAATCGGCAACTAAAAAAAATTTAGTCGCCAAAAGTTGTGAAATTGGCGACTAAAATTTTTTTTAGTCCCCAAAAGTACAATATTTAGCTACTAATTTTTTTTAGTCAGGATATATTGATTATTGGCGATTAAAAAAAATTTAGTCGCTAAAAATACCAGAATTGGCGACCAAGAAAAAAAAATAGTCGCCGTATATTGAGTTTTGGCTACCAAAATCATTTAATCGCCAAATGTAAAGTAAAAAATTATTTTTTATCTTTGGCAACTAAAATTTGGTCGCCAAAAACATATTTTCAGTGACAAACAATTAGTTTAGTCGTCGTATGTTGCGTTTTGGCTACTAAAATCATTTAGTCGCCAAATTAAAATTAAAAAATTATTTTTTTATCTTCGGCGACTAAAAATTTGGTCGTCGAAAACATATTTTCAGCAACAAAAATAAATTTTAGTCGCCAAAAACTACATATTTGGAGGGATTTATTTCAAATTTTGGAGGGATTTTATAAAACTAATTGGTGACAAAATGAGATTTAGTCGCTAATGGTGTTATATATATATACATGGTTCTATACCACAAACAACGCCTCTGTCTCTCTCTTCATGTTTCTCTCTCTCCCTCTGTCTCTGCCTCTCCCTCTCCGCTGCTCCTTTCCCCCTCTCTAACCATCGCTCCACCAGCCGAGCCTCCGCCTCTCCTCCTCGCCGTTGCGGGCAACCGAAGCACCGATTCACCTAGATTTGTCCTATTTTCTCTCTCTAAACCTTATAACCAATCATGAAATTCAGATCTACACGACACTACCCATTTCAAATCTTTCATTGAACTAAGCTTCAATAGCGAATCTGGTGGTTTTGGTGGTGGTGATTTTGGGTTTGATCAATGGTGGGTATTGCCAAGAAACGGCCCAAGAAGTTCCATGGAGAATCCACACATTGTTCTTCGTGGAGTGCCACAAATACTTGTTCAGGTTTAGTTCTATTCTTCAAAAAATGGTGCTAGATCTTTATATGTGTTTTTATTGTCATCGGTTTGGTATGTAATTATGTTTTGTTGTACTTTCTTTGGTGTTTATCCCTATTTATGTATATAAAAGAATGAATAAAGCATATCTGATATTCATGCCTACCAGGTATTTGACAAAATGCCTCAACCTATGGTGGTATTGATTAAAACATATCAGAATTTTGGTGGGTTAGATTCAAGTGAATTATGGAAGGCATATCTACAACTTGTTAATAGCCTCCATGCTGTGATGTGAAACAACTCATGCTTTTTATTAAAAGAACTTATAAACTACAAAATAAAATAAACTCCAACGAGAAAAGATTAAAACTCATTTTTCATTAAATAGGGAAATTTTTTTTTGCAGGAATCCAAACATCGAGCTGGTGAGAAAGGCTGTGGGAACATAAAAGAAATAGAGACAGGTTTTGCTGTGTTTTCTCATGAATGTCTAAATGTACTCAATATATATATCAAGCTCTTACATATTTGTATTTGTCATTGAACTTGTAATTATTGGAGACTATTTTGTATTTCAGTTTCTTGATCTTTGTATAGGACCATGAATGGAGGCAAGCCGTAACTGTAGTTGGTTCAGGATGCATTGCTGCTTTATCAGTTGAGAGATATCTTACCAGCAACAATCTCCTTGTTGAATTTCACTAGGTTTTCTCAATTCTGATTGTGTTCTATTTGATATGTTCTTCTCTCTTAGTTTTTGTTATTTCTTGGATTAATATTGCTATTATTATGCTTATTTTTGTAATTCATTTATTCATTTGTTAATTGAATTGTGGGGATATTTTCTTTTAGGCCCACACAGAGCATTGGGTTATTGTCTTACACATATTAGTAAATGTTCTTGTTTTTACTCATCAAAAGTATGTATGTTTGGATGGTTTTTGTCTTTTGTATTCGTGTTTTCGGAAACAAACATAATGAAAAATTTGAAACACTTTTCGTTTTCATTTTTTTTATTTTTTTATTATTACTTGAAATTAGTGTTTGAAATTTCAAAAAACCATTTGGTGTTTTCTAAAAAGAGGGATTTTTTAGAAATTTTTTGCAGAAACAGTTCTCCAAGTAAGTTTCTATGTTTTCAGGAAAATGAGAACTTAAAACAGGAAAAGAAATGATTCCCAACAACACAGTATATAATATCTATTTGTTGGTTTGTCTTCAATCTACATGGTCACTCAGACAATGTTGAACAATCATTAAAACTTGTATCATTTTCCAGCTATAATAGTGAATAATTTTTTTCTTCTGGCGAAAGGATGCTTGATGTCTTTATCTGATGTTTTTGCATGATTGGTAATTACCTTGCTTATTGATTGGAGTTGCTATTTTTTCACCAACCTGTTCAACAAGCCCCTCAATCCTGGTTTGGACAGGTTGAGGAAGAGATATTTTAGATAAATGATTAGGCTCAAGTAGTTGATTATACTTGTCCTTATTCTGCATTTGGTACTAGTCCAAATCTCATGCCTATTTAAGGAAGGTTTTAGTCGGAGGCAAATGTTTAAATTCCGTTAGGTCAAAGGTGATTTTCTGGAAGTTAGTGTGGAGATCTATTATTGGATGAAGATTTCGGGTTCTAATACTTATTCAACAAATGACATTAGTCTCTCCTAGAAGCTGTTTAACTGACCTTGAATTTTTTTTCCTTCTTAATTTTCATTTGTGCTAAAAAAATGTTTCCATCTTATGAATAGCATACTCAAGACTTCTAAAGACAAGCTATATTGTCTAAACTGATTTTTGTGCCTTGTACTTGCGTTTATGTAATAAAGCCTTTGCATTCCAAGTGCTTAAACTTATTTGTAATCAGTCAATTTGCTTGATTCTTTTTTGCTTTAACTGTACTATTCTTCATTCACAGACATTCATGATGTGGGGTTCCTCGCTGCTTGTAACATCTGATAAACCTTTCATTCATGCAAGTGTTTGAACCCTGTGTCAATTAATACCTACCAAAAGATTGTCTAATGATTTGTATAGGTTGTCTGCATAAAACGCTCTCTACTGAAATTCCCCCTTTCTTTTTCTGTTTGTGTTGTGTGCACTTTTTTTTTTTTGTGTTGTGTACACTTTTTTCTTTTTTTTTTTTTTTTGTGGTTTATAGTAATACCCGAATTTATGACTTCATGCACCGTTGATCTTATTTTATTTCCGAATTTATGACTTCATGCACCGTTGACCTTATTTTATTTTTTTCCTTCTTCTTTATCTTGAATTGAATAATGTGCACTATAGCCATGTTTAGCAACTGTTGTTTACTTATGTACACTTGCCAATAACCATTCTATTTCTCCTTTTCCTTTTTGTTATGGTAATGTGGCTGAAGTTGAGGGTTAGGATTAAATGTTTCACTAAAATAGACTATTTTTTGAATGGTCATTACTCTAGTATGCCTTCTCATTTCTGCTCTATATAATTATTTTGTACTTGGTTTGAGAATAAAATGAGAAAAGTTGATCAGTGAATTGATGATGGATAAAAACTATGTATCTGTTTGTGCTATCTTCTGTTAGCAACTGTTTGTGATCTGTGTTACTGATCTATATTAATTTATGTATGCAGCTTTCAACTTTGCTTCAGTAATTGCTTTAAGGGTTGGACTGCAGTTGGCTTCATCACTAATTTTATTTTATTTTATGGCTTTTACTGTTTTATGTTTTTGGTGTTTTTGTTAGTTGGTTTCTTACCAAATTAGCAATTGGATATCAATTTTGTTGAATCCTCTATTATGTATGGAACTATATTTTTGAGATTGGATTATACTTGATTTGTATGGAATTTTTTTTGAAAATATTAATTTGATGTTAAATATGATTTTCTTTTTCTTTTTCTTTTTCTTTTTTTTGGGCTGAAAGTGAAATGTGTGTATGTTGTGGAATGGTTGCTAATCTTATCAGTATATAGATAATTTATTTATAAAATGGAAAAAAACTTTTGGCTACTAAATATTTAGTAGTTAAAAATAAAAATAAAATGGAAAAAAACTTTTGGCTACTAAATATTTGGTAGCTAAAATAAAAAAAAACTTTAGGCGACTAAGAATTTAGTAACTAAAAAAAATAAAATGAAAAAAATAAAAAAATGAAAAAACACTTTGGCGACTAAAACTTTGGTCGCCATAGATACTTCAAGTTTTGGCGACCAAAGTTTTAGTAGCGGAAAATAAAATTTTTAGTGACTAAAATTTTATTTTTGGCGACTACAAATATTAGTCGCCATTTAGAGGACTTTTGGCTACTAAAAAATATTTAGTCGCCAATACCTTCCCCGACAAACTTCCGGGGACCAGTTTGGCGACCAAAATATTTAGTCGGGAAAAATTTTTGACGACTAAAAATCGTACTTTTGGCGACTAAAAATTTAGTCGCCAAATGTGCATTTTGTTGTAGTGGGTATCCCCGATCATTGAGATAGTAAAACTATCCCCCAAGTTCGTGGTCTCAGCTCCAGCAGTAGAACTTGTTAGTAAGTCAGACAGCGCTTTTCCCAATAGCTCCTCCTCTTCGATGTCCAAGTTTGCAATCCTACCTTGATCTGTAGCAGTGCTTAGGTCCCCCTACTCATCCTTCTCTTCTAGTAACTGGTGCCCGAAGAAGATTTCGAACCCAGGATACCTAGTCTTTGTCTCCCAGTCATACCAGGGCTTTGGGAATCCACAAAAGGGGAAGTCTTTCCCTTGGCGGACAGAATGTCTGTTCAAGGTCCCCTATATTGGTTTGTGGACTAACTTGTACTTCCTTGCAGTCCTTTTTGCTTTCAGTCTCTTAGCTCCTGCCCTTTCCTTTGCTAATCTGCAGCGGTAGGTTTGTATCCCAGCTCGAAAGCATGGGGGTTATGATTCAGCTCCTTAGCAATAGTACCTCTTTGTCTGCCACTTCGACCTAGTTCGGACCCGGGCATATGCCTCTATTTGTTCATCACGTATATGGATTGCGCACTTACATAATCTCCATCGCCCTCTGCCATGATGGTTTGGACCAATCGGGCTTCTGCTAGAGAGAAGCTGGAAAGGAACATGTCTTATTCCTCATGTATGATTTCCAATAATGGTGCAGTGGTTCCCTGGGGAGGATGAATCTCAGACACGGTGGCAATCCCGCATTTAAAGGGGTACTTTACTAACTGATCGACTGTTGATGATACAGCCTTCATCTGACGTAGCCAGGGCCTTCCCAGTAGTAGGTTGAATGTGGTCGGGACGTCCATGACATGGAATTCCACCTTATGTTTGGATGGGCCGATTAGGATATTGCTCTTAAACGTTCCCATGACATCCCGGCTTGTATTGTCGTAAGCATGGGCAGCTTGGGTCATGGGTGTAAATTCAATTGGCCTCAAACCCATGGCATAGGCAGTCCTCACTGGGCACACATTGATCGCTGATCCGGTGTCTACTAACACAACCAAATCCATTTCTTCCGACTTTCCAAGGTTACATGCAGAGGCCTGTTATGGTTGGCGCCTTCGGGAGGCAATTCTTTATCCGTATAGGATATCACCAGCGCAACGTCCCCAGAGGTGACCAACGACACCAATTGGTTAGCGGTGGTGTCAATGGGCAGTTTGGTTCGGTTCATTGCTTCGAGCAGGGCTTGTCTATGTTTCCGAGATACCATTATCAGTCCCTGGATGAATATGTCGGCCTGAATCTTCTTGAGCTATTTTAAGACCATGTTTTCCTTAACATCCTTTTCCTTTGCTCTCTCAGCCTCCTTGTTAGAGGTCTCTAGCTGGTCTACCATTACGGGTTTGAAGTACCAACCGCTCTGGGTCATATGATTAATCTCATCGGTATACTAGGTGTCATCTGGGATATCAACTTTCCAACCTTCGTCAGTGTGCACATGACTTAGGTTGCTATCTTCCCACCACTGTCCCGCAGTCATAGCTGAGCTAGCATCTGGTTCCATCCGGAGCATATTAACATCACGCGCCCTATCATCATACCATTCTTCTTCTATCACAGCTCGAGTTTCAACATCCCGGTACTTTTTGAGTTTCCTTAACATTTTCTTTTGGTCATTGGGATCCCATTTGACTTTTTTAGTTATCTGGACATCACCCACCATTGTTTCTCGTTCTTCTTTCCCTTTTCCTTTGCCTTGTTCTAGAGCTATCTTCGCTTGGATCTCCTCCATCCTTTCCTTTTGAAGTCGTTCCAGTGCCTGTTTCTTTTTAGTAAGAGGTGCAGCCTCAGTCTTACCCTTAACAGTAACTTCCTCTTCTCCTCCAGACTCTCCCGTCTGTTCCTCCACGTCAGACTCTTCCTCACTCAACCACGCATTGCTTGTTTCTGGCTGGCTTGGGTTCCACATTCCCATCTGCACACAGCTTGTATCTTCTTCCTCGAAGAAGTAAAGATCCTCCAAATCCTCTTCTAATTCTGCCAGATCCTCCTCTAGTTTTGCTAAGTCATTCAGGCCTTGCTCGGGCCACTTATTCTGATTTTGCACCATTTGGTCTTCCCTTATAGTATTAATGCTGAAAAAGTCTGGCAGTATGACCACTGGCTTTGGCTGATCGATGGCAACAATGTATAAACTGGGATCATACTCCTCTGCGAGTAAGACCCCCTTTTATATGACATGGATATCAGACAACCCTGTCTTCAGTGCATTCTTTCCTTTCTCCATTTCTGTTGTCACGAGCCTGGGTTGGGTTTATGGTGTCAGATCCATCGTGCACGTGGCTGTGCCTTTCGGAATGACCACCTTCGGTTTTGGTAGGTGGGATGAGGTAATGTATATGCTAGGGTTGAAGATGGGCGGTAGTGTATGGATGTGGTTAATATTTCTGGGCGGAGGGACTTGGTTATATGTAGGAAGTGGGTTGGTTGTTACGTTAGGTTTGGAAGGTGGGGCAATAACTTCATTGTCAATGAGATCCTAGATCTCATGACATAAACGGTAGCACGTCTGTGGTATGGCCATGTTGTTGGTGGAAGATACAATACTGGGTAAGGTCGTGTTTGGGCAATGGGTCTGGAAGTGGACGAGGATCAAGAGGCTTGAGATGTCCCTTTTGCATTAACAGCTTGAGGGCGCGGGTTGGGCTCATATGCAGAGGAGTAAAAACTCTTCGATTCCAGGGTGGACCTATATTTTGTGAAGGTTATGAGGTTGTGGCAGTGGCAAAGGGATCGACCATCTTAGCTGTCGAAGCAACAATACTGACATTCGCAGGTTGTGGAATAGTGCTACTGCTAGCATTGGTATTCCGAGAGAATGACCTTCTTGCGGGTTCACATATTCTGTGGATGGTGCCCTTTTTGAATGCACTCTCGATCTGGACCCCCAGCTCATGCAGGGAAGCAAATGTGGACAACGGTGCCACTATCATTCTCTGCAGCATGTCCGGTTCAAGGTTCTGGACCACTAGTCAAACTTGTTCTCTTTCGGTAGGCCTATTTGTCATTTGGGTTGTCTTGGTGTAGACACCCCATTTTGACCGCTTGCAAGACTTAGGCGCTTAGTTCGATACACTCGATGATGAAAGTTGATTTGTGTGCTTTGAATTCATAGCGATTCGGATTCATTCAGGTTCTCGAAATAACCTCAAATCTTCATTATTTACCTTGTTTGAACGTCTGAGTCTCATTTTTGGACCTTGTTCCATCTTGAGCTGAGTTTGAACCAAAAAAATAGGGGAGGGCATCGAAGCCCGACCGAGAATCAGTGATGGCCGGCCGTGGGTATGAATGGCTGACCGGCCCTTGGTGGCGAAAAATACTATTTTGGGCGGGAGGCTGTCGGTTGTCCATTTTTGAAGATATTTATCACCTTTTGAGCTCAAATTCTATAAAAACGAAATTGTGTGATTGTTTTGAGGGTTGAACAAAATTTAGAAAGCCTATATACACCTTGAGAGCTCCTCCCTCCTCTTTCTTCCATAGCAAGCAACCTCTGAGCTAACCTAGCTTCCTTATGTCATCTCCATACATCATACACAACCTTGTCTCACCACCTTACAGCCTTGGTTGATCTTTAAGAAGCATAATTCAAGTTTGAGAGTGAGTTGAGACTAAGTTTGGATCATAAACAAAAAGCTTACCCCTTGAGAGGTATAAACTTGTTATCTTCCTTCTTGCTCTCATTTCTTTCATTTACTACATAATTCTTACTGTTTTGTGTTGTTTTGAATTTATTTTAAGTGTTCAAGCTTGGGTTTAAAGAGCTACCAAAAGGGTAGAAAGAGTTTGCTCTTTCTACACCTTTAGCTATAGCTCAAACCCTTCCTTTTCCACTCTTTTTCTTTGATATCTACACTGATTTTTAGAGTTTAAGAAAGGCTAAAAATCATGTTTTGAGGTTTCAAAAGTGGAGGGGTTAGCCACCCCTCTTTGTTCTTGCTTCCTAGCCTTGTTTCATCTCTTTGTTGTTTAGCTTTTTAGGCTCTTTTCATGCATTTTTAACCTCTGTTTTTCATGAATTAAGGGCTGTTTTAGGGCTATCCAAGCCTTTTAAATTGATTCATGCTTTGGTTAATTCATTTGTTGTCTCATAAGTTTGCATACATAACTTGTTATATGTTGTTCCAAGCTTTTCTTTGCTTTATTTTCATGTTAAAAGTCTAATTTTAGCAATCCATCCACCATCCATCTCTTTCATTCTTGAGAATGATTTCAACCGATTGAGGTTGTTCAAAATATGTGAGAAAGACTCCAACTTAATGGCTTAATCTTTTCGGAGATTCATTGCCAATGGTATAGTCTTTCTTTCATGCTTTAGAAGAACCTCTCATTTGACATTACTTCTTGTTTAGAGGACTTTA